ATGGTCCTCTCCATTTTTTTGTCATTTGGTGACTATCTCCCTACTTTGTCCTGACAAATTACACAATGCCCCTTTAATAACTATGATAAAAAGCTCAAACATGTCTTCTTACTGACCTAAAAGAGAACAGAATGGGCTGCCCTAAACGCAGCTTGTTCAACATCCCTTTAACTTTAACGCCTCATCATTGAGTCTGCTGTCACTGTCTGAGGCTGCGTCCCGTGGGTTTTGCCGTCATGAAAATCCTGCATAAATATTTGAGTGCGTCCTGCTCCGGCCCAGTCAGCTATAATAGTCCTTTGTTGCCTCTCACCTGGACTCTGAGGGCGGTGGGGGCACTTTGGTGAGTTGTGTGTGGAGCTCAGGCCCTGGGGCGCGTGTCACCCCTCTCAACTGTCTGGCCAACTTCAGCTGCAACTTTAGACATGGATGCTGATGCAAAATGTAGTCTGAAGGTAGCGGCGACCTCATGGGGGAAAGGGCTGCTCGGTTCGGACAAGATAAAACAATTCTTGTGTTGGAAAAGACCGTGGTTAAGGCCAGCCACAGCTTTTATTACAGGCCGTGTGTGAATCGGTGTTTGAAATGTATTTTTGACTGCACTGCACCCACCCCACTTCACTTTCTCCGGTTTTCTGGCTCTCCTATCCTGCTTCTCTGTGTAAAATATAATAGGAACATTTCACAGGTGGTTAGGGAGATCTCTACATAAGAAAATGATTGCTGAAGCTATATGTGGCAAAAAGGAATAGGTACCACACACCAACAAGTTCATGATGAAGTAAACATGTCAGAAGACCAATTTCAAAAGGGAAATATGTGTATTCTTTATTATTCATTTATTCTATTACTTTACTCTAATACTTTACTCTTCTATAAGAAATATTTGCGCCTAGTAAGCACAGGGCTCTATATGGTACTTAACTGTAATTGCCATTGTAACAAAGTACCCACATAGCAGCAGGACGTTGCCATTTCACAGACTCAAGACAAAAGATGTATTAGAATTTTGTTTATTGAGCATGAATGGATTGTAACGTCAGGCCTTCATGACCCAGAACCAGAAGTACTATTCTTTTATTGCATTCAAACATGAAATGATTGATAAGATTTTGACCCTGGCAGAAATATTGCATGACATACTGTATGTAGTACAGAAGTTAATAGAGATTATGAGTTTACAAACCACACTGGTCTTGACCCTGGCAGTGGAAGCTGAGCCGTGTCGGTGTGTGAGTGGACACAGATATTGCATATTGCCTGTAGTAGATTTGAAGTAGATTAAGGCGGGAGTACCATAACTTCATTTCATAAATATACAATATATATATTGTGCCCACTGAAAGAATCGTGTTTAGGTCATATTTTGTGATCAAATCAGACCACAACATACTGAAAGCTGATTGGCTGGTTTTATCTCTTTCATTGAAAAAAAAGCTTATCCATAGATCTGTGAGAGTCCAACACTTGCACGTGAAAACAATAGAACCAAACCATTATGATAACTAGGCACTATCGCGATTTGATACAATAGTTATTATTTTGTGGTTTCAAACAGTCATGTTTCATCTTTACAGATAAGTCAAAACATCTCTTTGATACTTGATTTTAACCCACTATAAATCTAATCAATATTCTCGTAGCTCCTTTTTAGTTGAAGATCTATACTTGAATATAACTGTAATTCGTTTATATTTCAGTCTCCTATGCTGCCCATGTTGTCCATCCTCCATTAATTGTCCGCCCCTGTGTATATATGACAGTATGTGGCACTATATAGACTGTCTCTTATGAAGAAGAGTGGAGCGACTCTGCCTCGGGGCGCTGGGAGAAACCACTGGCTTCAAATGGCTTTTCTTATACTTGGATTAATGTGCTGTTGCAAGTATAGAGGCTCTACGTTAGACAGGTTAAACGTATCGTCAGTGATAGCAAAACTATTATCCATGCCATAGCTTTAGTGACTAAAGAAAATCAAGTGCTTAGCCATCAACTCATCAAACTTCACCCAGTTTTGCCAATCTGTCTTTTTGTGAATGCATTGGGTCGTTTTACTGTTAGATCAAATACAGCTTGGTCAACGGATGAAATGATTCCAAAGGCCATCTCCAACGTCCAGTGTGTGTTTCTGTTTGAGCTGGCACCCAAACAGAAGGACAACAGCTCACTATTTGCAGTGACCAAACACAGATGTTCAAACTCGTGCAAAGGTATGCCGCTGCTGAATTAGATAAGGAATCAACAGCAGGCTAACTTATAGGAGATGTGTTTAGCAAATTCAGATTTTTTGAGGTTGTACCCTACTGGTGATGTGTTGATGCAATAGTAATCGTGCTAACAACATTTTTCCCTCGTCCAAAACAGAGCTGGAGGCCTTATGTTACATCCATCCACGCCAAGACAAAAGTGTGTAAGTTTGCACTTTCTGTTTAAATGTTCCATCCATCCATTTTCTACCCCTTAATCCATTTCTGGGTTAGGGAGGTGGCATTCAGCTGCTACCAATTCACAGAGCACCAGCCCCTCACTGATCATTCCCTAGGGCACAATGACAGCAGACATCAGTGGGAGTCAGTCGAGAAGCTCTCATGGTGGACTTGAACACACAACCTTCTGGTTCAAAGGCCAATGCTCCACCAACTGAGCCACTGTTGCCCATAGCTTTCGGTTTAATGTTTATGTTGCAGAAATATATGCTGTTTTCATGAGGTGAATGGAAAAAAGGAACCCACAATGCAGGACTGAACAGGACTGATAAAGTGTAATGTAATGAAATAAATCAAAATCCAGAGTAAATCCAGAGTAACAATAAACACACACAAATATCCAGAACTAAAAACAAGCCAGGAAGAAACTTGGGAGAGAGAATTGAACGGAATCTTCTTTTTATTGTTGTTGTATACCAGTTGGCAAAGGAGCATTACCGCCTCCTACTGTTTGGGCTTGACCGTGACTCACAAACTACCGAATGCGGACAACAAGTCGAAGAAATACAAGTGTATGAATACAAAAACAGGGAGACTCGGGTGAATCATATTAGGGCGGGGTAAACAATCAAGGGAACAGGAAGAAGAACTCAAATAGGTAAGACAACAGATGAGGTCAAAAAAATAAATCAATGCTCAAAATGATAAGAATCCACACCATGACAGCGACTTTTTAAAACAAAAGTATTGATCATAAATTAGTGTTGGGAATGTTTTAGGTGAAAAGCCATTACTTATAATCGCATGGCAATGTTTTCGGCAATAATTTGCAAACTCTGAGAAAAAAAAAAATCCTCCCTCTGGAGGTAGCATAGGCAGTAACATGTGGATAGCAGTGGGGGCGGGTCCCGGCTCAAAAGTGGCCAAAATGACGGGCGCTGACATGCTTGCAATACCACACTGGGCCAGAGGGAATTATTCGACTCAAATGGCAAATGTACGTATCTTCTGACCTCTCAAAAACTTCCAAAAACAGGCTGGTCCAAAAGTTGGCTCTTGGCCCAAAGCTCCCTTCCACATGTGTGTCAATGCTGAGGGGGGTGAATTTTTTGGACCGCACTCTAGTTTACTCGCTGTGAATTCTTTAAGTCACTCGTTTAAATGAATGGCACTTGTGCCGGCTGACGCATGCGCAGATGCGTTTTTTCACATTTTCCAGCCCTCGTGGCCATTTTTAACCACTCCATGAAAGCCCAATTTTTGGCCCATTAGTTAGAACGGAGGAGATAGGCGTGACTACGTCCGTTAACATATAGAGTATGGTGGATAGCCTTGTTTGTCCATGATGCATTTTTCTGCCCATATCATATTTCTACTGGATATATAATTTTACATTCTAAAACATGTAATACCAAAAAAAAGTTGTATAAATATTTATCATACCCACGCAATATATCATTGTACCATTTTGTACAATTTTAATGTACAGTCAAAGGATATTTTAGCATCACGCTAATCCTTCTAATGCTCCTCTCGCACAATACTCCACGTTCAACCAGACCTGTTACAATATCATAGACAACTGTTGAGGTCTTCTCAATGCGTTTTAGATTATTTTTCCGTCATACAATGGAAGTGTTTGAATATGGTTGAACCAAGGTTTTGTGTCTCTTTAATGTGTGTCTGTGTTTGCAAAAACTAGACCAGACATGGGCATTCTAAGGCCCGCCATGCTTTTTAATATGGCCCGCAGAACTTGTCCGATTAAAAAGAAAAGAAAAAAATCATCAATCATTCATTTCATCTTGACCCTGCAATGCCCACGTTTCCCCAATAGATGGCACGCTGACCGTTGGCGGGCCTTTTTGAGTGTCTATTTTTCCCCTTTATTTCCCTTTATCTTTCCAGTTGCCTTTCAAGTACTTCTGTAAAAATGAGCGGGCCAAAGAAAAGGAAAGTGGACGTTGAATCCCGTGTGTTTAACAAAGAGTGGACGACAAAATATTTTTTCACTGAAGTACGATCAACAGCTGTATGTTTGATATGCCAAGAAGCGGTTGCGGTGTTCAAAGAATATAACATCAGCCGTCACTTCACCACGAAACACACAAACTATGCTAGCAAGCAGTCAACTCAAGAACGGGCTGCTACTGCAGAGGCTGGCAGCTGAGCTACAGGCTCGGCAGCATCTCTTTCACAGACAAACTGCAATTCAAGAAGCAAGTACCAAGGCAAGTTTCTTGCTGGCATTCAAGTTGGTGAAGGCTAGTAAGCCTTTTTCCGAAGGCGAATTTTTTAAAAGCATGCATGGTCGAGGCAGCAGGTCTCCTGTGTCCAAAGAGCAAAGAGAAGTTTGAAAAAGTTAGTCTATCGCGCAGGACGGTGACTCGCCGTGTGGAACTGATTGATGAAGATATAGTGAGCGAAGCGAGTTAGACAAAAAGGCCAGAAACTTCATTTTATTTTCACTAGCACTGGATGAAAGTACTGACATAAAGGACACTGCTCAGCTTCTTATTTCTTATTATCCGAGGGATAAACGAGAGTTTTGAGATAACAGAGGAACTTTTGAGCATGGAGTCGCTGAAGGGGAAAACGAGAGGAGAGGACTTGTATGAACAAGTATCCGCTGTCATCGAGAGAATTAATCTACCGTGGAGTAAACTGGCTAACGTCACCACGGATGGATCGCCAAATTTAACTGGAAAAAACATCGGGCTGTGTCAGGGGGTGCAAAATGGGTGGTGGGTTTTAATATGGTTTTATTCATATTTTATGCATGTTGTGTTTGTGTTTTTTAATATTGATTTCAACTGGCACCACCTGAAGCACCCCGGCTCCCCACGTGAACAATCAAGACACCTGCGCCTTGAGAATAAAAGACTGAAACGGGGGGGGGGGAGGAGGACACAGAACAAGACAGAGAGAGAGAGCCTGACACGGGAGCCCGACGTGGCGGGTGAGAGCCCCGTGGTCTGGCGGCCCAGGCCGTGGGGACGCGTTTTAGCCTCTGTTTTAGCTTTTTAGTTCGTTTTTTTTAGCTTAGGGTTTCATTGCTTTTATTTATTTGTTTTTAATGTATTTTGTAATCAATTGTTTTTAATTCGCTTTTTATCCAGTGGTCCTTTTTTAAATCCGGGTCCGAAGAACCTGTTTTTACACATGTGACATTTTGGCGTTGTCTGGCAGGACCCGGTACCACTGTTTTTAAGTTGCGATTAGAGGCTATAGGGCTCCGTGGAGGAAGGATGGGTGTGCTGTCGCTGAGGTCGTCAAGGGATCCGAGCTGAACTGCGCGCTGGCAGCCGGGTGGGCCACCCCAGATCCAGCACACAGAGGAGCACCACATCCCCAACCTGGAGAGAGCACCACGACGCATGATACAAGCAGGGGCAGACATGGAAGTCTGCCTGGCCTGTAAGTATGGGCATGTGGTGTAGTGGTGCTCGTGGAAGGCCTACGGCCCTATAGGGTCGCGGATGCGTGGGTTTGGGCTGGCCTCTGGTGTGTTTGGTGCAGGTGGCCCGGCAGCAGCGGCAGTGGCGGCAGGAGTCTGAGGCCACGGGAGAGAAGCGACAGAGGCCCCGGGAGAGAAGCGACGGAGGCCCCGGGAGAGAAGCGACGGAGGCCCCGGGAGAGAAGCGACGGAGGCCCCGGGAGACTCGCGGTGGAGGCGAACCCCTCCCCAGAGATTGCAAGGCGCAGGTGTTCTGTTAGCAGGGATTGCTAAGATTAAAGCAGGGGGGAGTGTCAGGGGGTGCAAAATGGGTGGTGGGTTTTAATATGGTTTTATTCATATTTTATGCATGTTGTGTTTGTGTTTTTTAATATTGATTTTAACTGGCACCACCTGAAGCACCCCGGCTCCCCACGTGAACTATCAAGACACCTGCGCCTTGAGAATAAAAGACTGAGACGGGGGGGGGGGGACACAGAACGAGACAGAGAGAGAGAGCCTGACACGGGAGCCCGACGTGGCGGGTGAGAGCCCCGTGGTCTGGCGGCCCAGGCCGTGGGGACGCGTTTTAGCCTCTGTTTTAGCTTTTTAGTCTGTTTTTTTAGCTTAGGGTTTCATTGTTTTTATTTATTTGTTTTTAATGTATTTTGTAATAAATTGCTTTTATTTCGCTTTTTATTCATTGGTCCTTTTTTAAATCCGGGTCCGAAGAACCTGTTTTTACACATGTGACAGCTGCTTAAAAGAATTCAGGATAAAGTGAAAGAGGAAAAACCTGCGCAGAATGTTGTTTTCCTTCACTGCATCATTCACCAGGAGTCTCTGTTTAAGTCTATATTGCAGCTTAATCATGTCGTGGATCCAGTTGTTAAACTTGTAAATTTTATACGTGCAAGAGGCCTTAATCATCGTCAGTTCGTTACGTTCTTAGAGGAAACCGATGCGGCTCATCAGGACCTACTTTACCACTCCCGTATCCGCTGGTTAAGTTTGGGTAAAGTTTTGCAACGAGTGTGGGAGCTCAAAGAGGAGATAAGCTCGTTTTTGGAGTTAAAGGAAAAATCCGAAGAATTTCCCGAGCTGAGTGACGAGAACTGGCTTCGTGACTTTGCGTTTGCTGTGGACATTTTCTCACACTTGAATGAGCTGAATGTGAAGCTACAGGGGAAAGATCAGTTTGTAGATAACCTGTACACAAATGTGACAGCCTTCAAATCCAAGATGATTTTATTCTTCAGACAAATGTCAAACAAATCTTTCACTCATTTCCCCACACTAGCCACGCAGAAAGAGGCCACCCGAAACACGGAGAAATACTGCAAATCACTGGATGACCTGCAGAGAGAATTCTGCCGTAAGTTCTCTGATTTTGAAAAAATTAACAAGTCACCCCAGCTGGTCTCATGTCCCTCTGTCACAAGACCCTGACACCGCACTGCAGGAGCTGCAATTGGAACTGATTGCTCTTCAGTCCGACTCTGCCTTCAAGGAGAACTTCAAGTCCCTTAAACTGAATGACTTTTACGCTTCACTTAACAAAGCCACGTTCCCAAACCTGCGGAGATTGGCACAGGAGATGCTGGTGTTGTTTGGCTCAACCTGCGTGTGTGAGCAGACGTTCAGCGTCATGAACATCAACAAAGCTCGTCACAGATCCAAGTTAACGGACCAACATCTCAGATCTATCTTGAGAATTGCCACAACGAAACTAGCCCCGGACTTTGATGCACTGGCTAAGAAGGGAGACCAACAACACTGTTCCCACTGAAAGTGGTGAGTTTTTGTACTGTGTCATGACAAACAATGCATTTGGAAAGGTTGAAAGTGCGCGTATTAATTAAGTTGGCATTAAAAAGAATTGGGTAAATATACGTTTGATTAAGATTAAGAGATCACTTTATTTGTCCCACAGTGGGGATATTTTGGTGTTGCATCACAAGTTTGAATGTTGATAATTAATGAATGTTGATAATTATTAAGTAATATATTTCATGTTATTTCAATAAACGTTGATTTCTTTAACTTTATGCCTTCAATTGTATTTAAATCAAATGCAATCTCCAGGTTTGATAGATCGGAGTATATTTTCATCTATTTACATGGTTTCCTCCCAGTATGGTGCCCAATAGTGTGTACATGTAGTATCTTGCATAGTCATCAAGACAAATGTACTTGCAGGATCAGGACTATTTTGCACATTTGAAAGATGCAGTGCTCAATGTTAGTGCATTTATTGCAATTTTTTTACATGTGCTTACTGTGCTATAAGGTTTGCACTCTACATGCAGTGCTTTAGTAATAACGCTATCCAAATGCTACTGAACCGGCCCCCCTGTAAAAAAAAAAATAACCCAATGTGGCCCACAAGCCAAAAAGTATGCCCACCCCTGTACTAGACAGATTGTGCAAACATTTGGTGCGGACCCCTAAAAGAGCACAACTTTAGGGACCAAACCTTTTACAAATAAAGCAGAGAATATAGCTTTGATGGGTGCATTTTGTCATGTTGAAAGGAAACCACAACCTCTTAAAACCTTTTTGACCTTACAACATCAGCCTCTGAGATTTTGGGTTATTTTGGCACAATCTCTATGACCACCACTGCTGTACAAGGCAGCATAAAAGACTGTTGACCAGAAGCCGTGGATTTACAAAACCCTTGAACACTTTGGTCTGTGGAGCAGCCAGCTCTCGCGGGGCGGTGTGTGGCTGCACTCGTCATTGCAGCGGTGCGCAGAGATAACCAGGGGGCCTGAAGATAAGTGAATCTAAAGACCTCAATAAAACTGCAGCCGGGAGAGGCACAGTATTAGTCCATCTATCATCGCTCCCACTTCGACACACTACCAAAATACACCACAGACTAATATCATCTGCCTATACCCTCCCTTATCGGTGTCATCTGTGCGGCTCCAGATAACCAGGCACCCACTTCTCCAGGGACCGAGCCCGAGGACTGATACTGCGCTCAAGGTAAAGGATGAGAAGACTCGCCTGGAGATTTATACCACCGGTTTTACCAACACAGACAGAAAGAGCAGGCAATAAGAGATGCAATGCTCTGGCAACAGTTTGCAAAGACAGCCAGATCTACCATGTTTGGGTCTATCCCTATATGAACTCGGTAAGCCATTGGATCTTAATGATCTCAATATGCCAATGCTTCAAGTGATGTACAAGGTGGGTGAAAATGTTGTAATCTATAGTTCATATCATCATCATATCACTTTAATCTCATTTAAATCTGAAACACCACCTTGATAAATCACCAATGAGTCTGTCATGGTGTGGATTTTCTGTCCATCCAACCATTTTCTCCCGCTTCTTCCATTGCCGGGTCGCGGGGGCTGCAGTCTGAGCGGAGACGCCCAGACTTCCCTCTCCACACACATCCTCCAGGCCATCCGGGGTAATCCTGAGGCATTCCCATGTCAGCTGAGAGACAAAAGAGATAAATGCTCTGTGCTCTTTACCTGACAAAAAGGCTGTCAGGAAGCCAATGGAAGCCCCTCACCTGGCAGTAGCAGTCGTTTAAATAAATACCCTTTTTTTGTACAGTTTTAAACATGATTGATTTTGTTTGAACCTCGAGCCAGTTTGTGTCATAATCTAATCTTGATAAATGTGCCTTCACAATTTGAATGACTGATACAGCAATCATGTTTTTACAGACACATTTAATTGAACCAGTTCAACCCAGCCACTGGTTTGGAAGCAGCCCCATGACTTCTATGTGAGTAACCCCTGCACTATAGGGCCTGCTGCTCCAGTGCGACTGTGATCATTAGTGAAAACTAAAGGAACAGACCATTATCTCCTTGTCCTCTTTGGTTCTATCAGCAGGTGCACGATGCTCGCTTCACTTAAACTCAAAGGCAGGGGTCAACAACTCTGAATTAATCACACAGAGTTGGGGAGGCCAGTCGCGGACACCAGATCGATCCAACGCTGCTAAATATTCAGAACAGTAGTCTGACAGAAAATGAATTTAGAAAGACCACATCCTATGAATACAACTGCAGATCGGCCCACGATTGTCCTCAATAAGCACTTAATCACAGGATTGGCTTCTCCGTCATCAGCCCTCGCCATTTTAAGTAAGTCCTGATTAAAACTCCTAATACCTCTATTATTGGTGTTTGATTTTTATCCCCAAAGGCTTTCCTTCCTAAGACGTGTAATCTCCTCATAGTCTCAACACGCTGCTCCCTTCCATACAGCAATGATTTCATGATTATGTTTGTTGGACTTTTGTTCCACATCATACCATTCTGTTTTATATTTTTCATTGGTTTGGTCACTATCGAAAGAACCCTGTGGTGATTTTGTAAAGAACATATTTGAGATCAATGAAGACATGGTCAAACATGGTGAAAAAACAAAACAGAAATTGTAATTATTTTTGTATAGTCCTAAATCAATGCTTCGCGGGGGATTCCAAAGTTGTTGATTCCTCGAAAACCGATTAGAGAATCAAACAGTTCAATCACAGGAAATGCAATAATATATTAATAAATGTTCTGTACCATCACTGTCCCTAGAGCCTCCTGCATCGTCAAGGAACATCTCAAACCCAGTGGAGAAAAGGTAAAAAACCTCAGGGAGGCCCGTATTGAGGCTGTGTGGTGCCGGACTGAGGAGGCTCTCAGGCGGGGAGGGGGGTGCAGTCCACAGGTCTGGGCCAGCGACCAGATCACAGGTACAGGTTCCAGGGCCCCATCATCAGAATCAGAATATTTTTTATTGCCACGTAGGTAACAGGAAGTCACGGACTTGGAAATTGCTTTGGCTCAGTGCAACAGTCAGAGAGATAATAAAAATAAATTTAAAAAAATAATAAACAAACTTCTAAGGAATACATTTTAATTTAAAATAGAGTTGCAGTTACTATTTACAATATACAAGTGCACATGGTGGACACAATGTAAGGTGACAGTAGTAGAGTGAAGTAAAGTGACGTATGATGGGCAGTAAAGTGACTTTATAAATGGCGGGGGGACAGGTTAAGAAGTGTTCAAGAGTCCAACAGCAGAGGGGAAGGAACTGTTCTTGTGGCGGGAGGTTCTAGTCCTGATGGACCGCAGTCTCCTGCCTGAGGGCAGTGGTTGGAATAGTCCATGTGCAGGGTGAGAGGGGTCGGCTGTGATACGACCAGCCCGGCCTCGAGCTCGGGCGACGTACAGGTCCTGCAGCGATGGAAGGCTGCGGCCGATCACTTCCTCTGCAGAGCGCACAATGCGCTGTAGTCTATGTTTGTCCCTGACTGTGGCTCCAGCGAACCACACGGTGATGGAGGAGGTGAGGATGGACTCGATGATGGCCGTGTAGAACTGCACCAACATCTGTGCAGGCAGCTTGGCTTTCCTGAGCTGCCGCAGGAAGTACATCCTCTGCTGGGCCTTCTTGATGAGGAAGCTGATGGTCGGCTCCCACTTGAGGTCCTGGGTGATGGTGGTGCCCAGGAAACGGAAGGACTCCACAGAGGTGATGGGGGAGTCCATCACGGAGGGTGGGGGCGGGGGGACTGTGCTCTTCCTGAAGTCCACAATCATCTCCACTGTCTTCTGGGCGTTCAGCTCCAGGTTGTTACCACTGCACCAGGACACCAGCCGGTCCACCTCCCTCCTGTAGGAGGACTCATCGTTGTTGGAGATGAGTCCAATGAGGGTCAGCTTCACGGAGTCGTGGCTGGAGGTGCAGTGGTTGGTGTCATCACCCATAAAACAGACAATTGTTCACTTTAGGTTATTTGTCTGTAATACTATACTACTAAACACTTAATGTAAATACAATTATGTCATTATTTATTCTCGTCACCATTTACAACAAAAATGAAACAGGCTTCTGAGGGGCAGATGGGAATCTCTGACAGCAAATTTACGAGAAAACTACGGTTTTGATTTAGTGTGATTCAAAAATAAATTGAATTCAAATTGACTGAGATGACAAAATAAGTTTTCCCCGAACCAAAGTCCAACAAGGAAACAACACCAAGCACGTACAATAAGAATCTTCTACTACTAAGAAGACATAATATAATTAGTCACAGAAATGTATGCAAATTCTAGCCATCTCTGGCTTTGGAAAAGACAAGCTCTTTTCTGCAAGTTGCTGTATTTTTCCCAGTTAAACTCTAATAGGAGGTTGTTCCCGCTCCTCATTAGGGGTTTGGTTTAAATGGTGAGAATCTATACACACTGACCACTGCTCTGTGTAAAAAGACCTTTAAGAATCCTCATTAGCAGTGCGGATTTCACCACTTTCAATGTATCCACTGGAGGAAAACACACAACAAAAGTGTAATGGCCCCAAAGTGTATACGTTAGGTTAGTTTCTACTGTCACAAACACTACAGCAACCACTGCACTGTATGTGTTGGAGATCTTTTTATCCAATAAAGTTAAGCGGTGACAGGACTGATGGTAAAATCTCTTATTGTCTTTATTTATGAAACAATGTAAATATCACAAATTATTGTTTGGCCACTAAAATGATAATGAGACTATTTACTTTGTCATTTCATAATGAATGTGAAATATTATATGGTGAACGATAAACGAGATCCTCCACCTGTAACTCCCTAAGCTACCACCAGAGGGAGATGTTGAGAATTAATTGCTGCAACACAGTCATTTCTGTCATTACACCTAAGAAATTGCAAAAGCCATCCCATGTACAATATTTTTGCCTTGAAAGAACAGAATCTGTTCAGAGCATGATTTCACAGTGGTACGATGACATCACACTTTTACAGGACTGAGATTATGGATGTAATTTATAATCCGGACGGTGTTGCTGCTTAAGGCCATCTCCACATTGACAAGGTGCCACTGCAGCATAAATACACATGGGCTGTAAGGATATTATCCTCATAGACCTCAATGTTCACTGAAACAATGCATCTGTGGCTGCAGGGAACTTACAACTTTATCAAAGTTGTTTTTTGGTAATTGTAGTGTCCCTTGTCATCCTGAACTAAATTGTCTTTTGAAATCCATCGGTTTTCTATAAATCTATACTGTGCTTGCTCTTGTTCCGCTCTGTCCGAACGCTCCTGTGTCCTTCTGAGGAAGTCCTGCACCGACTGCACAAGACCAGGAGAGCTGGCCAAAATGTGTCACTGCCGCTAATTTTTGGGCCATGGTTTAGAATGGGCAGACCTCCGGAGACCCAGAAGTTCCAAATATTTCTATCGGTTTTTGATGCGGCACAATGATGAACGGTTAAGGCTAAAAGAGTCATATTTGCATATTATGTCTCCTTTAAATCCGTGAGTGGTTGGCCATTTCTCTCCACGAAACATGCGGCTGCCTGTGGACATCGTGCACATACAAAAAGACAACTCCTCAGTAGTATGTGTTTTAAATCCTGACTTTCACATTAGTCCAGTTCTCAGGTCTCTGTAATGGCTTTGTACATCTGTGACATGTGAGTGCCATATGAACCAACTCCCTGGCAAAGGGACTGGCCTCCTGCTGGGACTCTGATGAGCTCAGACTGTAGTGTGTGTATTTGGAAGGGACAGTGTAATAATGAACAGCAGGAGCTGTTAATACACAGATTGTTGCTATGTAGCTAATTTCCATCTATCATATCACAAACACAAAATCATTCAACCCTCACCTATTGTACATGTTTAGCGGTAGGGGAAACTGAAGTACCTGTAGGAAACCTATGCAGACATGGGGAGAACATGCAAACTCCACACAGAAAGGCCCTGAAGGAGGAATCAAACTACGGACCTTCTCACAGTGAAGCACCATGCCAGCTGCTGGCCTCCTGCTGGCGCCCAGAGTCAGGACTAAACATGAGGCGGACGTTTTTCAGATGTATGCTGCTAAAATATGGAACAGTCTTCCTGAAAATGTTAGACAGGCTTCGGCAATGTTCAAAACCAGATGCTGTTTATACAACAAACTGCTGCTAATTCACAGATGTAAACATACTGCTGCTATTGTACAGATGCTAACATAACTACACATTGTTTGCACTAGAATACACAGTACTTTTTACTTGCCTCTTATTTTGCCAAATGCAAACATGTTATACTTATTTTTTATAATTGTTATTAGGCCGAGCCAATACGAAGTATTGGGGAGGCCTATTGTTATTCACCGGTTTCATATTATTCTTTTTTTTCCGCATCTTCAATTCGATTTTTGACCCTGAAGACATGCACGAAAGTCTGCACATGGGGGGTCTAAAACGACCGGTCCGGCGAAAAATTTGATAAAACGGACGTTTCCAGATTGTCCGACAAAAGGCGAATCAATAGCGCCCCCTTGAAAATTCAAAATTTGCCATTTCTATTGGAGGCAGGATTGCATATTTTGGAGTAGGTACACGAAATTCGGATGAGTGATAGATCTCTATGAGACGAGCATAAAAGCCGGTCTAAGCACATGTCTGGGACCAACAGGAAGTCGGCCATGATGGGCCAAAGTTTTGCCACTAATTTGACTTTTCATTTACAAATTCGAACTAGTCCCTGGTTTTTCATCACACACAGTTCTACCACGTAATTTCCCAATCTGGACGGATTGAAGTTATATAATCATCGAAAAAAAGTTAGAAAATCTTCACCGTTTTCGTCCCTCGCCATGGCGAATAAGGCCTTCGTTTTGGCCATTTTCGCTGAGCCCTGAGGGCCACAGGCTCAGACCTACAGAGCTGAGACTCACATCAGTAATATTAGGTTATGGCCTGAACGCAATGACACTAAAATCATTCGCCCAATTCGAGCTCTTTAGCGCCACCTGTCGGAAAGTAATAGGGCACTAGTGCTCGGATCGGCCCGAAAATCGCTGAGTGTATTCTCTGGACCGAGACGAGCAAAACATTACATTACGCAAAAGTTGTACGCCCCACACCTGACCACTGGGGGCGCCGTAAAGTGAATAGATGAGCTTTTTGGGGCAAAATGTTTGTCCGATGAGGCTAAAAATGAATTCAGTAATACAGCGTATGACCCTGAACACAACGATATACAACACACAACTGTGAGTGCAACAGCGCCACCTACAGGCAGTTCAAGGTGTCGCATTTTTGGCTTCGTACTAGTCCCTGGATTTTCATCGCACAGACTTCTACCATGTCATTTCTCCATCTGGACGGATTGAAGTTATGCAATCATCGCATAAAAGTTAGAATTTTGTTATCGTTTTCATGCGAGGTAGTGGGGAATTTCTCCATGTTTGATGCTCTCCTGACCACAGGCTCAGACCTACAGAGCTGAAACTCACATCACTAACAGTTGGTAATGACCTGAGAGTAATGGTGTGAAAACACACACCTAATATGACTCTACAGCGCCACCTATGGAAGGCTTCTGACCTAAACTTTTCCGATCTTCATCAAAGTTGCAAAATCAAATCTTTACATCTGTACGAGCAAAACACTACTCTACGTAGAGGGTGCATGTCCCGGAGGTGACCACTAGGGACGCACTTTATCATATAAATGAGCTTTTATATACGTAATCCTGGTCAGATCGGGCTGCCAATTCGTCGGCGTGACGCTTGTGGGACTGGCGCCCGGGAGGCGGTCGCAAGAGGGGCGAGGCCTTTCATCGCCGCTTGCGGCTTTAATTCTTTTTCTTATTTTTTTTCCGCAACTTCAATTCGATTTTTGACCCTGAAGACATGCACGAAAGTCTGCACATGGGGGGTCTAAAACGACCGGTTCGGCGAAAAATTTGATAAAATGAACGTTTCCAGATTGTCCGACGCTCGCCGACTCTATAACGCCCCCTAGAAATTTCATTTTTTTGGACCCTCTGGGGATTTTTTTTCAAATTTTTGAGTAGGTATACGAAATTCGGATGAGTGATAGATCTCTATGAGACGAGCATAAAAGCCGGTCTAAGCACATGTCTGGGACCAACAGGAAGTCGGCCATGATGGGCCAAAGTTTCGCCACTAATTTGACTTTTCATTTAGAAATTCGAACTAGTCCCTGGTTTTTCATCACACACAGTTCTACCACGTCATTTCCCAATCTGGACGGATTTAAGTTATATAATCATCGAAAAAAAGTTAGAAAATCTTCACTGTTTTTGTCCCTCGCCATGGCGAATAAGGCCTTCGTTTTGGCCATTTTCGCTGAGCCCTGAGGGCCACAGGCTCAGACCTACAGAGCTGAGACTCACATCAGTAATATTAGGTTATGGCCTGAACGCAATGACACTAAAATCATTCGCCCAATTTGAGCTCTTTAGCGCCACCTGTCGGAAAGTAATAGGGCACTAGTGCTCGGATCGGCCCGAAAATCGCTGAGTGTATTCTCTGGACCGAGACGAGCAAAACATTACATTACGCAAAAGTTGTACGTCCCACACCTGACCACTGGGGGCGCCGTAAATTGAATAAATGAGCTTTTTTAGGGCAAAATGTTTATCCGATGAGGCTAAAAATGAATTCAGTAATACAGCGTATGACCCTGAACACAACGATATACAACACACAACTGTGAGTGCAACAGCGCCACCTACAGGCAGTTCAATGTGTCGCATTTTTGGCTTTGTACTAGTCCCTGGATTTTCATCGCACAGAATTCTACCATGTCATTTATCCATCTGGACGGATTGAAGTTATGCAATCATCGCATAAAAGTTAGAATTTTGTTATCGTTTTCATGCGAGGTAGCGGGGAATTTCTCCATGTTTGATGCTCTCCTGACCACAGGCTCAGACCTACAGAGCTGAAACTCACATCACTAACAG